CCGCCCTGAGGCAAGAGGGCAGAGAAGGCGGCACATCTGGGCTCTTCCTCACCCACTCAGTGAAGGTGGATAAACAGACCACCACCCAGCATGGAAGCCAGGGATCCTGAGCAGTTGTTCTTAGACTGTCTGCACTTTCTTGTTTGCTGCCGCTGGTCCCGGGATAAAATGAAATAGTTTTACCTGAGAATTAGCTAGATCCATAAACCCCTCCCATTGTAGTTTTATATCCTAAATGAATGACCTTGTGAGGTGCACTATGGAGGAACCAAGGATTCCCCCTCCCCCAAAGCTTCTTTTCACTTTTTTATTCACTTATTATTTTATCTCAGAGAGAAGAAGGGAGAGATAGAATCATTGATCAATGCCTCCTGCACGCCCCCTACTGGGGATCAATCCCGAAACCCGGGCATATGCCCTGACTAGGAATCGAACCGGTGACCTCTTGGTGCATGGGTCGACTCTCAGCCACACTGCCGGGCGGAACCAAGGACTTTGGGTCTTGACAGCCCAATGTTCTTTCCTCTGCCTTCAGGAAATAGCTCCCAGGGCTTGTTTGGGGTCCATCTCCCCTCCATGCTCAAGTCGGGGAGGAGCCCACGTTCTAGCCTAAGCCCATCACTGTGCCAGATCCCCAGGGCCATGGGGCTTGCAGCAAGGATGGAAAAGTGGCCCTGGGAGCCAGAACCCATGGGCCCCAGAGACCTTTGCTGGGAACGCAGAAACGGGCCCTCCCTCAGTCTGGACTTAACCCCTCGAGGATAAGGGGCCATACACGGGTCACCACCATCTTGCTCACAAGGAGTCTAAGGAGAGAAGGGGAGATCCAAGAGAGAGTCCAGAGATGGCAGGTGTCATTTTTGAGCCCTGAATCCAATCCATTCCCATGCCCACCCCAGACATCCTGGTATATGACCCAATAAATATCTTTAGTTTTTTCCTGCTTAAGCCAGAGTGTGGGTTGGATTTTCTGTCTCTTATAACCAAACCATCTGACATGCTAGTCAGTGTGCAAAGTCTGGGAGACTAAAGCTTGGATCTAGAGCTGGAAAAGCAGTGGGACCAGCCTTGGCCAGTGGGTGTCTTTGAATTAAGCCATGGACTATTCTATCAAAGTCATCATTGCCTGTAGCCTCTTATCTTTTTTTGGTGTGTGTGGGGTAGGGGGTGAGGGGGACGGGAGGTGGGGAGGATACGAATGCAAGAGAGGAAAAGCCTGCCAAGTTTGTTAACAGGAGGGCATTAACAGGAGGTTTAGTCCCCCGACCTCACTACCCTCTTCATTCCTAACCATCTAACCATGTGCTTGTGCAGCCCCTGACCCTGGGCTCAGGGTTCAGACCAGGTCTCACAATTCCCAGTGAAACGCAGAACATTCTTTTCCGGGGTATGACAGGGCCCTCTGACACAGCGTTCCAAGTAAGTAATGAGCCTGAGGATAGCACAAGGTTAACAATCTGTTCAGCAACATTGTGAAACCCTCTCAAAGGCAGGCAGCAAGCAATTTGATGAGGCTCTGATTCGGAGTCCTCTTAGGGCAGTGATGGCGAACCTTTTGAGCTCGGCGTGTCAGCATTTTGAAAACCCTAACTTAACTCTGGTGCCGTGTCACATATAGAAATTTTTTGATATTTGCAACCATAGTAAAACAAAGATTTATATTTTTGATATTTATTTTATATATTTAAATGCCATTTAACAAAGAAAAATCAACCCAAAAAATGAGTTCGTGTGTCACCTCTGACACACATGTCATAGGTTCGCCACCACTGTCTTAGGGGGTCTTTGCTCCCCCCTA